AAAAAAAAAGTAAATGTGACGACAAGTTGAGGTTCATGAGGCGGCCGATGATCGTTAAGGGGCTTGGGATAGTTACCGTAACAGAGTTAGCCTTGTTCACCCTGTTCGTAGCTCTCTGTGTTTGGTATCACGCGGATTATGTACGCCATTGGTTCAAGCAAGTTGTACCGCGCTCCATAATGAAACACGAAAAAGTGTAAGGACCTCCTTTGCAAAGAACACACAATACTCTTATCTTCTTCCACTTGCTACTTGTTTTAACATTGAATCTTCACTGGTGTGTGCATTTACCTAACTCATTCCACTTAATGAGCTTTAAATTAAACCTTAGTGATATTTTGTGATTAATTCTAAAGTAATTTAACATGTACATATTTGTTGTGTTGTGTTGTTTGTACATGGTAATGATGATGCAGATGGCAAACCAAATTGGACAGAGTGGGTATTGTGACAGGGGTGACAGGGAATTTGTGCCTCACATTTTTGTTCTATCCTGTTACAAGAGGTTCTTCTATTTTGCCTATGTTGGGACTAACATCTGAGGCCAGCATAAAGTACCACATTTGGCTTGGAAACATGGCCATGGCACTTTTCACAGCTCATGGCTTCCTCTACATTGTTTACTGGATCGTCACCGATAGATTATCAGAGGTAAATGGTATTTTCATTTACTTCCTTGTCATTCGATTCTCACAATGGGAGAGAGACAATTATTGCCTTTCAGATTGCAAAACTTTTTAAAATTTAGGGAGTGAGAGCGACTTTCTTATTTCATTTTGTATTTCATTCGATCTAGATGGCTGACATTTGTTTGTGAGAACGTCACATTTGTACACGTGTCGTGCATCCAACGAAATGAAACACGAGATGGAATATGAAAATTGGACAGGAGAGTCCTTAACCATGCATCATTTGAGGCTTGTTTTATTATATTGTTTCCTTTTTTTTTTCCTTAATTAAAATGGGTTTTAGAGAGAAAAAGATATTCGAAGTGGGAAAAGAATGTGACTTCACAACTTTATAATAATGTGTATAGTTGTTTGTACCAAAAAAAATAATGTGTATAGTTGTATAATGAAGAAGATAGGCATTCAAACAAATTTTGTTAAAAAAAAAAATAATTTTAAACGCGAAAGAGAATTGAGAAAAAACTATCGATTTTGTGTATTCAATAAAAAAATAACCAGGCCCCCAAATAATAGAATATGAGTCTTAAATAGGACTCTTTAAAAAGTCTACAGAACATAAACTTCTCGACCAAGTACTAAAATAATTAAATACTTTAAATAACTGTAAATCAAAAAAAAATTAAAAAAAAAAAAAACTAGAGATCTCAAATAATCATGTTTGTCTAGAAAAACCAGCGCAATTTCGTCTTCGTCACATTTTTAATTGCTGCACTCCAGTTTATGAATATTAATTTTATTCTTATTTGATTTGAAAAAATAAATAAAAAAAAAATGTCCTAACTCAATAATGGGGGTTTGTGGGGTGAATGTATGATCATTATGTTTAAGTGTAGCAAATGTGTAATTTGTGGTGGCACTTATAACTAGTTAGGTGAAGTGGTTATCATTATTAAGGCCACTTAATTTTTTTTAGTCAATTTAAAACTCCTTCGTTTATAAGAAATAATAATTAGAAATCACATTTGTCACTTGTTAAGGGAAAAAATTGTTGTTTATATTAGGTTTAAGGTCCGTTTTGTTGTTGGACCAAATTTATAATGATCCCTTTGCTTTAAATTAGACTGTATTCACACTATATTCCCATTTGTGTTCATCAAACAAACAAAACACCTTGCTTGTTTTTCAAATATATATTTCCAACTCAAAATCTAAGTAACTTTAACTCAATTATATTATCTTTAATATTATCAATATAATCAAATAATATTAATAAATATTTTTACACAATTATATCAACTTTAAATTTATTATTTATCGACTCACATAATTTTAACTACCTTTGACTTTCAATCATCTATCTCTTACTTTAGTATCAAATCAATTTTTATCATTCTATTTGAAATACTAATTTTAAGACAGACGTAAAATTCGTTAACATCTAATCATATCAACTTTTTTTTTAATTAAACTTATTTAACAAAAAAAAAAAATATTAAATACCATTATATTTATTAAAAAAAAAAAAGCAAGCGCTTAACTTGGAAAAAGAATAAGCTGATAAATGAAGCAAATAATTATATGGCCGTGTCCCATCACTTGTAAATTGATTTGTATTTGCTTTGATATCTGTTGATGTTTGTGATTGCAAATTAACGGGTGTATTAATTTGGAATTTTTAAGTGGCAAGTATTCAATTGGAATTTCTAAGAACTTTTTAAAATTTTAGAAATGCTAGTGTATTTAATTTAAATTTATTAAAACTTTTAAAAATATTGGGGTTTTCCATTGGGATTCTAAAAAGTCTTAAAAATTATGTTTTATTTAATTTTTTTTGACATTAGGATTTGGTAAGACTTCTAAGATTTGGTAGGCTTTCTACACAAAAAACCTTATAAGAAATCTCATCTCAAATCTTACATCCAAACTTAAGATTTCACATTATTCCTCCAAAATTTGAAAATATTAAAAATCTCAAATCTTAAATATTCTTAAAAATGTCACTTAAAATCCCAATTAAATACACCCCCTAAGATTTGGGACCTTTTAGGATTTTCATATTAGGAAAGAATTCTACAAAATCTCCAGTTTAGAAGTAGGATTTCGTATAAGACCTTTTGTTTAGAAATCTCACCAAATCTTAAAAAGTCTTAATAAATTCTTTTGTCAAACAAATTAAAATACTTCAGGATTTTATAAGACTTTTAAAAATCTCAATTGAATAGCCATAATTTTTAAATGTCTTAAAGAGTCTTAACAAATCTAAATTGAATACACTTGAATTTCTAAAATTTTCAAAAATCCTTAAAAATTCTAATTGAATAAATAATAAAGTAAGAAATAAAACTTATTCCATGAAATTATAGTTACTAATTCAATTTGATTCGTTAAGTTAATCATTTAAGGTTGGTTAAAATACTTTCTCTTTCCTTTTTAATCTATAATCTGTAACACTCTTTTTTTTTTCTTTTTTTTTTGTCAAAAACGATAGGACTCTCATTACACAAAAAAGATACAAAGTTCAAATATACAACCAATACAAGAATTAATGGTACAGTTCCAAATCACGACTACAATAATAACCACGCCTGATGGGAGACCTAACAAGTAAGGTCTAAAGAACATAAAAATCTAACTAAGGTAGCTCTGGGCTGAGATCCTTAGATAGGAAAGAAAATAATCTAATGAAGAAATTAAAAAACTGTCAAATGACCTAGTTTAATCCTTCATCAGAAGAAAATGCACTCTTAAAATAAGAGATGTTTCTTGAGAAAATCGGATTGCAAAAAATGTCCTACACTATAATTAATTTATAAGGTCATTTATGTAATTTCATGACGAATGTTAGAGAGCTACAATTATTATTAACATTTATTTTTCAATCAAGTTTTGATCATTCTTCTTTATTTTATTGTTTGTTTTATCTATGATCTTATTCAACTTTTTTTATACATTTATGTATTCAATAATATTTTTAGCATATAAAGGCGTAAGATTATACAAGAAAATATGAAAAAATTCAGTATAAATATAAATAGAATAAACCTTAAAGAACTGTTACACCTCCCTTCTTTGAAAGCGAAAAAGAACGAAAGGAAAAGTAACAATTACTAACAATATTATAATACATGGGCCTTAACATCATTCCTTTCCCAATGAGTTCATTAAGCAGCATTGTTTGGACCAATGCGTGTTATATAAAAAAATTATTAACTAATAATTCATTAAACAATTTTTAATGTTTAATATATTTTGAATACCCATATAAATAGCTTAAAAACATGTTGATTTTATTTTATGTTTTTTTTAACAAAATTTTATTTATTTACTTTTATTCTACCATAACTTTTAACTAATGCCATTAAAAATTATGGTTGATCAGTGCCAATACATTTATAAAATTTATTATTTACATATTTTTTTCTCTTTTATTAAACTAATGTGAAATTTTGAATTTTTAAGCACAATTTTACTAATAATATACTAACTATTAAATCAAAAAGAATACTCCCTCCTATTCATAATATTTGTCGTTTTGAAAAATTTCACAGTTATTAAGAATATATTTTTTGCCAATAATAAACCTTCATTAATGAGGATAGAGAAATGTTTTGAGAAAAAATGAAGAGTGAATATGAAAAGACGTAGTATATTTATTAGCTAGATGGGGGTAATAATGAAAAAATATATACAAAATACTTAAAACGACATTTATTTTGTTAATACTTAATAATGCCAAAATGACATTTAAAAAGAATAGGAGGTAGTATATATTAGTAATCACTAATCACGTTCGTCGTGCAACTTCTTTAGTTTGAATAAAGGAAGACTCACCATATGATAGAATTTCCACCAACTTAGGAAGTTAATAGGGATCAAAATTTCCACTAATTTAGGAAGTTCATAGGGATCAAAATTTATCAAAACCCCAAGTGTTGTAAATAGCTTTCCCCATCTTAGAGCATCTCAAATCTCAAATGTTCAATATTGTAGTGATAAATTACATTCCATATCAACACATTTATTAATATCACATTTTTTCATCCATCAATGTACAATATGAGAGCATCTCCGATGGTACAATGTAGTTGTAGTAAATTATTTTATATAAACTAATTTAGCAATGTCTCCACTTTTAATACTACAATGCACAATGTAATGACAAATGTAGTGATGAGGTGGACATAATTAATTTCCACAATGTAGAGAGGAATGTGGTTCATCCACATTCTCTTTCACATTCCAATCAACCAATTGAAAGATGAGAGAGAAATATTATTACATTTTTCAAAATATCTAAATTATTTAATTCTTTTTGTTTCTTATTTATAAATTTTTTATTTTTACTAAGTGGACAAAATTATGTTTGATCACATTGTGCATTGTAGATAATTTCTTAGATTTAAAGTTGTGAACTTAGCAAATATCTTATGTGGTTCACAATCCATCTAAATAAATGACATTTGTCAAAATTTATGTAATAACAACATTTATGCATTAGAGATGCTCTGATCACAAATGTTGTGATGATGTGAACATAATTAATGTGTACAATGTAGAGAAGAATGTAGTTCATCCACATTCTCCTCCACACTCTAGTTAGGCAATGAGGAGAAGAGAGAGAATTATCATTACCATTTTCAAACTATTTAATTATTTAATTAATTTTATTAATTCATATTAAAGTTTTAATATTTGGCGAGTAGATAATATTATAATTAGGAAATATTGTGCATTGGAGATGATTTTTTAGTTTAATAGTTGTGAACTCAACATTTGTCCTACATGGTTCACAATCTATTTAATTTTTTGACATTTGTCAAAAAAATTTCTATAACAACATTAGAGTATTGGAGATGCTCTGATCTCTTTGATTGTACTTAATTAGGAATTTCAGCAAGTTGTTTACTAAATAACCCTTTTGTATAATCATGAGCTTTTACACTAAGGCCAAAAGGGTGGAATAAACACTGAAATTTTCGTTTTTCTCTTAACAAGTAAAATTTATATAGCAAAATGAGTAAAATTGAAAATTAAAATTTATTCAAATTCACACTTTGTTTCTGCTCTCTTATTTTGACTTAAACTTCATCAAATATAATTAATCGAGTGGAATTATACTTAAAAAAGAATAGCACAAATGAAGTTGACCATAAAAGTTTGAAAAATGTTACAAATACATAATAAATGTACATACATGTGTACATAACACTCACATAGAGTGAGCCCACTTAATTTTTATTTGAGTAATGTTATGTGTACATAATAAATGTACACAGAGTTGTACATAACACTCACATGTAGTGGGGTCCATTTAATTTTTAATTTTGGGCGGGTCCCACTCAATGTGAGTGTTATGTACACCCCTATATAGAATATTATGTACATATAGCATTATTCTTTTTATTTTTGGTTGGTCTCACTCAATGTGAATATTATGTATATTCTTATGTGCAATATTATATACCTATAAAATTTCTCTAATAAAAGTTTAATCAACAAACAAATCCCAAACCCGCTTTTTCTTCTAACTTTCTAAGCATGCAAGAAAAAATATGCCAAAGAGTTTTGATGTCATGGTGTTGTCATATCGCGTAATAATTCTAACAGAGTCTCAATGTCATCCAGATGTAATAAAAAAAAAAATTATTTTTCATTTATTTGCCTTTTGATCATCTACTAAATTTTTGGAATAAATAGAGTTGTGATAATTTAAAAAACAACAACAAAAAAAAGTACGATAGTTGATAGCATAAGTGTGCTTTTTTTTTTGAATAAATAGTTAAATACTATGATGGTTGACCCCAATTTTGCTATAAAGCCAACAGTTGTCTCTATAGTGGTGTCAATTTTATATATATACAACAAGTAAATCTACCATATTCTTTGATTACTTAAATAACACTAATATAATTTTATTAATATGGTAGGTTTATTTGTTATATATAGAATGTTGATTCCACTATGGATCTAACTGTTGGCTTCATAGCAAAACCGTGATTGACCCACCTAATAGTTAAGCAACAGCTTCTTACAAAAATTATGACTCTCCAGACAAGCTAATATCTTCAAAATATTTAAATTAGTAATTAGTAAGCATATCATTACAACATTTGTACATAATTATTTACTAGTACAATATGTGTACAACACGGGTACTTGTTAAAAAAAATTATTTTAAAAATTAAATAATAATAACAACAAAAACATGTTTTAGTTTTAAATACTTTTTGAAAGATATGTTATTATTTATATTTAGAATGACATCGTCACTTACACGACTTACAATCTTATATTATAACATTTTTTATTTATATCAGATAACTATTTTGTAGTTAAGTTAATTTAAATAATTTTATTTTTTGAATTAATATTAATATTAAATTTATTTTTAATTATAAATATTTATTTATTTTGTATGTATAATATAGATATCAAATTGAATCTCATCAAGACATGATTAATTTGATATATTATATATATAATTTGCTAATAATTAAAAAAATTATTAAATTTTAAATATATTTATAATTTAAGTTAGTTAATTTGTTATGATTTTAAAAGAAAGATTGAAAAAAAAATATACTTTATAAATCATATCTGCAATAGGAAATAGTATTAAACATAATCAATGCTCTTAAACTGTATCATAAATATCCATATATTTATGGATATTCTAAGCCTAGTAATATTTGGATTGCAAATAAATTAAAAAAATTATCCATGCCAATAAAAAAAGGTTACAAATTTGCCACATAGGATCCCAGAAAATGCGAGCCTCCCACTTAGGTTTAACACATTCGAGAATTATATATAAGGGCGATGGACCATATTGAATATCAAAACTATTTCAGTAAAATCTCATAAAACTACTTCATAATATAAACATACATGCATACTTCCTAATTTCTCAATTTTGAGTGTAGATGTTACAATGGGGAGACCACTATGTATCAAACATAGCAGGAGAAATCTCCTTACTGTGTGGACTGACCTTGTGGATCACAACTTACCCTACCATTCGAAGGAACCACTTTGAACTCTTCTACTACACACACCAACTCTATGCCCTCTTCATCATCTTCTTCATACTACACATCGGCATCGGCTTCGCTTGCATCATGCTCCCGGGCTTCTACCTATTCCTCATTGACCGATACCTAAGGTTTTTGCAATCAACCCAAAATGTCAATTTGGTCTCCGCCCGTGTCCTCCCGTGCGACACGCTCGAGCTCAACTTCTCCAAGAGCCGGAGTAAGTAAGATCACCCTTATTCTGCTTTTTATTATATAAATAGTTCTAATGGCATGATAAATTGAATTTAAATTAAGAAATTGTACGTATAGCTTGAAGATTCACGAATATTAATCACTGCTTTGGCCCCGTTTAGGCCAGGCTAGGTCCCCGAAAAAATAGAAAGCATGAATTGAAAATTCATGTTGCTTTTTAGATTATTTTTACATTTTTTTCTTATCTTATTGGCAAACCCTTACTTAGAAAATGGTGCAAATTATGTAATAACATATTTTTTGACAGACCTGAAGTACAACCCAACAAGTAGCATCTTCGTAAATGTGCCCTCCATTTCTAAGCTTCAATGGCATCCTTTTACAATCACATCAAACAGTAATTTGGAGTCAGAGAGGTTAAGCGTCGTGATCAAGTGTGAGGGCCAGTGGACACGAAAGCTTTACGACCTTGTCTCGTCTCCTTCAACCATCAATCATCGTCTCCAAGTATCGATCGAAGGGCCATACGGGCCGGCTTCAACTAATTTTCTCAGGTTAACCACACTCACACATATAGGGAGTGAGCAACGGTGTTGTTCGTTGGAAAACCGCACCAAATTGCAAAAAATCAAATCTTTAAAAAAATAACCAAACACACGAGAATAAAAGCAGAACCAAAATTGAACCATTTTTTTTCCACTAAAATAACCGAACTAATCACACTAAATGTATGCTTCAACTCGGTTTCTACTTTTTACTCAATTTTACAATACATTTATATAAAATTTTGGAAAAGTACAGTACAAAACAACAATAAAAAAATTTTGAAAACCAAACTTATAAATATAATAACCAAACAACACACCGTTGTAGGAAAAACTGAACCACACTGAATAGCATGGTTCCACTCAATTTTGCTCACAACTATTCACACGAATATGAGATACTTCATGAATTTTATAGAGTGTTTATTTGTATTCTACTATTTTTTTTTTGTAAACTATGAACACTTAAAAATTTTCAGGCATGACATGCTGGTGATGATCAGTGGAGGCAGTGGCATAACACCCTTCATCTCCATAATTAAAGAGCTTATCTACATCAATACAACCCTCAAATGCCAAACACCCAAAATTCTACTCATCAGTGTCTTCAAGAACTCCTCAAACCTCTCCACGCTCGACCTCATCCTCCCGATTTCCAACTATACGAACCCTTTTGACTTGAACCTCAAAATCGAGGCCTACGTCACGAGAGAAAAAGGGCACCCGAAGGACGACGAGTCTCCCACCTCACAAATCGTGTTATTCAAATCGGACCCTTCAGATAGGCCCGTGTCTCCTGTTCTTGGCCCGAACGGATGGCTCTGGTTGGCTGCCATAATCTCGTCATCCTTCGTCATTTTCTTGGTTATGTTGGGGATATTTACGCAATACGTGGTGTACCCGATCGACCACAATACCAACATGCTCTACTCGTACACCAAGAAAGGGTCGACAAACATGCTACTCGTATGCTTCTCGATTATGATGGCGACGAGCGGCGCTTTCTTGTGGAACAAGAAACAGAATTCAAAAGAGGTCAAAAACATTCAAGACTTGGAGGAATCGTTGACCAACCGATCAACCAATTCTTCGTTCGAACGTGAGGAGGATATCGAGATGGAGAGCCTTCCTCTACAATCGGCCTTGGAATCGTCGGTCAACGTGCATTATGGACAGAGGCCCGATCTCAAGAGTAAGTTTTAACATGCATTTTTACATCGAATAATTTGGTCTTATTACGAAAAAGTTTCAATCTTTAATTTATCAGCACATGAAGAGATTGTGATGTGTGTGGTTTGATTGATTTATGTAGGGATTTTGTTAGGGATTAAGGAGTCAAGTGTTGGGGTACTTGTTAGTGGGCCAAAGCAAATGAGAGAGGATGTTGCAGCCATATGCTCATATGGGCTGCAGGCTGGAAATCTTCATTTTGAGTCCATCAGTTTCACTTGGTGAAATTTGGAGTCTCTGCATCAGTGGATAATTTAAAGAAGCATAGACTATATATAGTAAGCGATGTTCTTTATGTGTTAGAAAATATGCTATCCAAATAAGCAATGAGTGGTTAAGTGGTTGTTACTTTCTTTCTTTCTTTCTTTTTTTTTTTTTTGGATAAACGGAGGTTTTATGAAATGCATTATGTATTGTATGTCATTCAGTCACATTTGTTTGCATGAGTTTTTATTTTTTTTTTAATTTTTTTAGTTAAAATATTTCAATATCTAACAAAGGAACAATAAAAAGTCATGAAAGTGAGGTAAAATTTTTCTGCAAATAGCCTTTTATTCAACGAATATAGAAGATACAAAAGTCACGAGTGTTTGATACTTTTGTATCTTCTATATATATATATATATATATATATATATATATATATATATATATATATATACACACATACTATGATATCCCTAATCAATCCTTATCAATAAGGAATATTCCTAAGGGTCAACAAATAATAGCACAACCTAGCCAATGACTCCTTCCCATACAGCTAGTAACTTTGTCTTCATGCACACCTCAAGTGTTGATTCAACGGCTATGAGCTTACTCCTCTACTTGTCTTGAACCAATGGTGCAGCTAAGAATCTAGTACAATATGCACGTGTTCATTTTGGCATGGATGCATTCATTAGCCTGATCAATGGTTGTGATCTCTTGATTTTTATTCTTGAATGTAATTGCATTAAATGTAACACATAGGGGTGATTTCCAACATTTCCACTCAATTTGAACTCATGTTTTTTAAGTATGTTCAGTTTACTTCTTAACCTAGTGAAGAATTGCAAACTCAAAGTTTTAGTGAAGATATCAACAATTTGATCAATAGAATGGACATGTAGAACTTGTAAAGTGCCACAAGCTATTAGTTGTCTAACAAAATGTAAGTGAATATCGATATGTTTTGTTCTAGCATGTTGTGCTCGATTTGAAGCTAAAGCAATTGTGCTCATTTTGTCAACCCAAACACAAGTTGGTTTCTTCATCGATATGGACAACTCTCTCATCAATGACTGTAGCCACATAATATATGTTGAAACATGAGCAAGACTTTTGTATTCTGATTCAGTAGAGGACCTTGAAACACTAATATATTCTTAGACTCTCATGACACAAGATTACTTCCTAAAACACACAAAAACCAATAGTTGACTTCATATCGTCAAAGTCACTAGCCCAATCTGATTCAGAGAAACCAATGATGTTAAGATTATCTGACTTGTTGATTTCTAAACCATAAACCAAAGTTCCACTCAGGCATCTCAGTATCCTCTTGACAACTTTCCAATGAGCATCTAACGAAGCTGACATGAATTGGCTTACCTTATTCACACTTAAGGTAATTTCTTGTCTTGTAATAGTCACATAGTGAAGACCTCCAGCAATGCTTCGGTAAAGAGTACTCTCAGCAATAGGAATTTCCTTATGCTTAGACAACCGAAGTGAAGAGACCATAGGAGTTGTTGTTCCTGTAACACCTACCGTGTTTGCTTTTTTGAGAAGTTCCTTGATATAATTACCTTTGTTAATATGTAATCCTAAGGGAATTTTTGTATCTTCAATGTCAAGGAAGTAATGTATTGATACAAGATCCTTTAGAGAGAAGAACTTGGAAAGATGTTTTATCACATTGGTAACCTCAGTTTCAGAACTTCCTGTAATCAAAATATCATCTACATAGTGAAGAAGATAAGTGCACGCATGAAGTAATATGCAACACTGTAATTCCCTAATTTAATTCATAGTTTTTATCCCTAATGTAATTAGTAAGCAACCCAGAAATTCACAAGATACAACAAAGCCATACGTGTGTAACTTGATTTTGTGCTTGTCTTTTGATGATCTTCTTTTACTGAAACCTTAGAACTCATTAAGCATCTTGCCAGATGTGCTTAAGAATTCTATTATGGTGGGAAACTGTCGGCTCAGCTTGTTAAGGCTCGAGCTTGGTTCGGCTCATCTAATAAATGAGTCAAGCTCGACTCAGCTCGATAAGTCTCGTTAAAGCTTGAAAAGATAATTCTCATATATTTTTCTATAGTTCGGCTTGATTTTGGCTCATTAAGGCTCGACTCGGCTCGTTAGTATTAATAAACGAGTCAAGTTCGAGCTCGACCATCAGCTGTTAAGTTAACGAGTCTAGTCGAGCTTGACACGACTCATTTACACCACTGGTGGTATTCTGTCCAGTCATTTTCACTTTTATTTTTTGCTTCTTTTTCCTTGCAAAACGTTAATCTTGTGCATCATAGGCTTCCCAATACAAGATTAAAATAGAATCCACTTTACGATCTACTCTTACATTACCAAATTTTAAGCAACGTTGTTCCACAACAATTTGAACTTTAATTGTTTCTCACAAAAATACCAAAGAAAGAGAAACGGTAGAATCTACTTATCATTTTAAGAAATCATCACTAAATTTTCCAAATGTAAATTAAATAGTTTTATATGATATTTCTTCATTATATAAATATAATATGTTTATCCAATTTGTTAAGGTTCTGTTGATAAATTGGTACCAAAAAAAAAATTGTTGATAAATATTAGGCGAAATTTTTTATTAACCACAAGATTATAAATATATTGCATTTCTATGATATGAGGGATTTTATTTTCCTGTATGCCAAATCTAGCACATTTATTTGTGTTGAATCAAAAAATCCAGTTACCAAACTACTGATCTTCCCTACAATCACGCATCTTTAGGATTTAGCTGCATCTTTAGAATTTAACTGACAAAAGAAAGGTAAGTGTATATAACCTATTAATTAGGAATATGTTCAACCAGTTATATTTCTATCAACGTTTTTTTATTTTATTTTTGTAATTTGTATTGATTTATTACATATATTTTGTAACGCTCCACTTTTATCTTAAGTTACAGTTTGGTATCAGAGGCAGTCTGCGTTTCTGTAGACTGCTCAATGTGATTTAGGTGCATTTATGAATATATGAGTATATGCATTGACCACTCGTCTTCGTCATGCCGCACCGCTTGAGGTATGTAAGTCATAAGTAATGTTGAGATTAATTATGGAATGAATTGTTTTATGTGCTGTCTTGGGGCTTATGAAGATCTATCCACCTTCGATTGGCTTGAGCTCTAGTGTTTGTGGGTGAAATCTAGAAATTTATAGCAATGCTAAACTCTTTTCGGTCTATTCAATGTAGATCAATGGCTCGCCAAACCCGCAATAGCAATCAGCAGCAACCACCTCCGCCGCGTCCTCCTCCTCCTCCTCCTCCTTATCGGCATGCTCTGGGTAGAGATCCCATTACCCAAGCTGTGATCGATTTTCTTAGCATGTATCCTCCAGCGTTCACTGGATTTGAGGGCCCCGAAGCTGTGGCCGAATGGCTTCAGCAGCTAGAGAGTATCTTCGATCTGCTATTCACCACTGATGAGGTGAAAATCCGTTGTGCTTCGTTCATGATGACCGGAGATGCTAAGACTTGGTGGACCGACTATTGGAGGCTTCGTCCTCGTGCTGAGAGGGATGCCTTGACTTGGGACCAGATGGTTGCTATAGTCAAGGACAAGTATTACCCGGATGCTTACCGTGCCCAGATGATGAAGGACTTCTGGGAGCTTAAACAGGGACCCCGTCCCGTGGATGTCTACGAGCGCGAATTCACCCGTATGTGCGCGTTTGCCCCGATGCTGGTAGATACCGATGAGAAGAAAGCCTTCCGTTTCCGTGATGGTCTTCGCCACGACCTTTGCTATACCCTGACTGGCCACAGAGTTCTGCCTTACTCCGAGATGGTTCGCCGAGCCACCGAGTTAGAAATATGCCAGAATTCCCAGAAGGCGGCTATCTCATCCTATTCGCAGGCCCAGATGGTTCCGCCACTTATAGCTGTTGCGCCCATCTCTAGTTCTGGCAAGAGGAAGGCGAATTTCTGCCAAGATCAGAAGAAGGAAAAGCGTGGAGCCCCCGACCGTCGTGATATCCCACCTGCCGTGCATCCGAGGTGTGCTAATTGCGGCCGAACCCATGCTGGACAATGTTGGTTTCCTCATAAGGTCTGTTTCAATTGCCAGCGTTCAGGACATTTTCTCAGTGCGTGCCCCGAGCCCCGGAGGCAGCCGTATCAGCAGCAGCCACCCCAACAGTAGCAACAACATCTTCCACCGCCGCCTCAACAACAGTAGAGCTAACCGTGGACTCGTGAAGTCGTAGCAACCTCATTTTATTTTCTTAGTTTTGGTTTTCTTGGAAACTTTGCAACCCACCGTTTATTTTCCTTTCGATTTGCAGACTATTTTTAATTGTGTTTAGAACTCCTTTATTCTGCTTAATTTCAGTACTTTGGAATTTTGTTTGTCCTTCCTTCCTTTGCATGGGATAAGATCTCTGATGGAGTTAATCATTTTAAGTTCTTTGATGATCTTTATCTATCCTCGTATATTGAGAACCTTGTGTTGTGATGCCTCTAATTCTGTAAGAATTAGGGAGTCGAGAAGTGTTGTTCCACTTTAAAAGATTTTGAGAATCTTTTTAAGGAGGGTAGTAGTGTCTGGTACAGACACATCGTGGAGTGCAGAGCCACCTTCACTTTTGATATTAGTTCATGATAATCTTTGGAAGCTCATTTAAGACTGCCGGCATGGTTAGCTACTTGACCAAGAGCTGACATGACGGCCGACACTGTTAGTCGGAAGAGTCGAGTGAGCTAAGAGTTTCATTATTCGGTAGTGACCGCGGGGATTTGGATTATTCCGGGCTGAGGAACCGATCCTCGTTTCTTTACGAAGTTTTTTCGATCTCTGTCGTTGTTTGTTCGATGGAGCCTGTGGATCAGGGAAGGTGGTGAACTTGGAACTCGGTTTATGCCTTATTAAAAATTGGAGACCCTCGAAACTGTTAAAGTTGTTCTATACCTACATGATGGGGGAAATCGTTTTTTTTATTAAACCCCAAAATGTTGTCGCTCAAAATTTTGTAGAA